CGAGCACAGACTTTTATTTTTATTTTGGTATGTAGAGCACTCGGCAAGCCCAGCACTCAAAAACAAGTATTAAAGCGCCAATGGTGTCTCAAGCTTTTAGCTTTGTGTAAAAAAATGGGGTGTTGGTTTTGTAGAGGCATAACCCAAAAACAACCAAGTACAGTAGAGATACTGTACCCGATTTGAGAGCCCAAGAGTGAACCAAAATTCATAATTTTGGTCAGAATACGAAACTGCCCATTTGTAACTCTCTGCTTGCATGCCCAACACTTTGCCTTAAATCCCTAAGACCTGCCTGTTCTGAGTTGGTAGCTTTGTCACTTTTTGATATTTGGGGAGTTATAAAAAGGGTCTAAGAGCTTGCAGTGCAATTCTGCGTTGGGTTTTCTCTTGAGGGTCTTTGAGTTTCTCAAAAACAAAAGAGAAAGTAAGGGTCTTTTAGCTCTTACAATGTCTTCCTCTGAGCAAGAGCTTGAGGAGCAGCTTAAGGAGACTGGAAATAGTCTCCTGAACACTCCTTCTGCCACTGATGAGCTTCTCAAACTTCTTGATGTAATGCCCCCTTTACCCTCTCTTTGTATTGCATTTTCACACACAATATGCATGTTTACTGGGTTATTTTTTGCTTTGATGAAATTCTCTGGAATGCCGAGTGAATGAAGGCTGGGAATGGGTTGATCATCATGAATTACTGACTGGGAGTGTTTTATAGGTTTCTTTTTCTTCTTTTGAGTGTGTGCATCCGGTTTTCTTTTGGGTTAATTGAGTTCATTAGAATACAAACGAATGATGACTTGAGATGGGTTGATGATCATTCTGTGAATTCTTCAAAGTCAGGGTTACCATTTGTTTATTGAAAAAATTTTGGTTTTTTTTATTGCGGTTTCAGTTTTCATTTATTTGTTTATTTGGGTTAAAAAACAAATCTTTTATGGAGGGAAATGTGGTTTCAGTAATTATGAGGGCTTTGTACATGTTGATATTTGTTTCCTGTACTCCGAGTTGTGGTTTAAATGAACAGCTGAGTTTTATTTTTCAATTGCTTATATGTAATCCTTAATTAATTGACTGGCGCGATGGTTATATGTTAAACCAATTGCAAGCTGTTTTCTAGCTATGACTTTTCGTTTTTGAATGTTTAGATGTGCACTGTTGCTTATTACAAGATGGCGTGTGCCTGTATATGTGTTGAATGGCTTGATGGTTAAATGTTAAACCAGTTGTGAGCTGTTCGTTGGCTATGATTTTTCATTTTTGAAAGTTTGATTTATACTGTTGTTTGTCAAACGATGGCGAATGTATACTGTTGCTTATTAAAAGATGATGTGTGTGTGGTGTAGGTGTTTGCACCTTCTATGACCTTATGTGAATTCTTACTTCTGAATCTAATGAGTTCTATACATTTCTAATAAGTAGTCACTGAGCATTCTTAGTCAGATTTGCGATTGTATGTAATGGTTTAATGTAATGATTACTATGATATATGTTTAAATGTAACTAATCTGAAGTTCGAATCTGTTGCAATGCAAATGTTTGAAGTTATGTTAAACATAGCTATATCTGATTTTTTGTTTGTTTGTACCTTTATAGGTTTTAAGATTGACAATACCTGACATCCTCTGTTTCATTCTGTCTTTTAGGATGCTAATGATTTGTTGGACAATGTTGAGCAAGGACCACCCAGATCCATGCAAGATGCACTTCTACCCTTAATGAAAGCATTAATTTCTAATGAACTGTTGAGGCACTCAGATGTGGATGTGAAGCTTTCTGTTGCATCTTGCCTTACTCAGATTACAAGAATAACAGCACCGGATGCCCCATACGATGATGAACGGATGAAGGTATAACAGCTCCAATAAAGTCTAAGATTCTAACTAATCATTAATCACTTTGAAGTTCTACAACTTGCATCATCAAATGCTCCTGTTT